CGGACATGTGTTGTCAGCACATCTGGGGAATACAGTCTACGAGTCCGAAAGGAAATTTGCTGGGATCGTTCAAACTGCGATATTGATCTTTGTTATTTTTTTTCGCCGAGGGATGCACTTGGCATGAGAATCAGAGGATGGAAATTGTTTGGGAGGTGCTTTTTCTTCTGCAAGCGAATTTCATCGTCTGCATTTCAGGTACGCAGCTCACAGGGCGGCGGGGGGTGGGGGGTTGGGGGGGATACCAAACACAGGGGTCCCAGACTTCCCCTTAATAAGGGGCAGGAGGTAGAGTTAAACCCAAATCAAAATAGTTGAAAAATACATGAACGATGTATTGTGAGTGCATTGTGACAGAAATCAGCAACTGTCAATCTCCCTCCCTTTAATTTCAGTATCTAAGTAGTAATTATGATACATTTGTTGCTCCCAGACTTCCCCTTAATAAGGGGCAGGAGGTAGAGTTAAACCCAAATCAAAATAGTTGAAAAATACATGAACGATGTATTGTGAGTGCATTGTGACAGAAATCAGCAACTGTCAATCTCCCTCCCTTTAATTTCAGTATCTAAGTAGTAATTATGATACATTTGTTGCAATAAATAACCACAGTGTACTGAGGAAGCTGAGATGCTTAAAATTCCTATCGTACCTGATTGTGATAATGAATTGCAACCTTGCAGCAATCCCAGAATTTCATAGCTTCTGAAGTTCTTAAACTGGTCTGATCTGAGGATCTTAAAAGGCTTGTGGTTCAGTGGCAGAGTTGTCACACAGTTCAGGGTCTGCAAAAAGGGAGGAATGACACTGATGAACGTGCCTCTGCTTTTAAAAGGAGCTTTACTGTGGCCGTGCTCTGAAAATTAATTATAAAAAATAAATAGCCCCATTCAAAGAGCTCCTTGGTGGCTGGGATTCCAGCTTTAGGCTTCTCATTTAAATGTTGCAAAGATCTCTCCCCTCCAGTATGTAGAAGTCAGGTAATTTCAGTTGTCACCAGAGCTTGTCCAATTAATGAATAGGCACGGCTGGGCATCTAGCGTAAAGGATTGGAACAATTTATTCTTGGGGAAAACACTCCCTTGTACTGCAAAAGCCCTGGCTGCCTTGTTAATTTGTCATGTCAGTCGTGCTGGAATAATTATGTTGCAGGAGGCAGGAGTGGGGAGGTGGCCAGTTTTCTAGTTTGGGACACTTCAGGGAGCCCCATGGGGATCCAGGCTGCCTGCGTCTCCCGCTGTTCCACCGCTCTGCAGGCTGCTTCTGCCCTCGAGTCATTGCATAAGTCCGGAAATGGGAACATGAGCAACACAGGCAAGGCACTGCCAGGGCAAGGTGGGGGATCCTGGTGGACTTAGCGCTGTCCAGACTGGAGGTGCTTAAAAGGAGGTCCAGAGCTTCTTTCGGACAATGCAGAGATTGGTGTGGGCCAGATCCCAGCTGCAGCCCCCAGCCAGCAGCCCCTGCAGCATCTCTCCCTGGCAATCTTCGGCTGGTAACACCTAAACCGACATTTGGGGTGGCAGCATCTGTATCAATTTGTGTTGCCTGCATCTGCCCCAAAACTTTTTTTTATTCCTGAGCAAATAGCGTTGCTGTTGGCTTTGTGGGGTACATCAGCCCTTCTTCTATCCCTGCAGACTGGTGCCATCTGCTACCAGGCACCCGGGTGACACTGGCAGCACCCCGGCTGACCTTCCACTTGTGCCCAGTGGTACCATCAGAATAATTCATTCTCTCACACTTTAGAACAGCAAAACCTGCTGTCTCTTGTCATTTAAATCTCACACTTATCTATTTAGCTCAGCGTGATGTGCCACCTGTCCAGTTCCCTTCAAATTAGGCTCTTCTTGAAGTATCACAGTGAGAATGGAAAAACGAAGCTCATGACTTTCTTGGCCACAGTAATATCCTGAGACAGAAAGAAGCTGTCCCATTCTGTGCAGGTCCTTATGCCACACATTTAGCTGCCAGTGTTTCCTAATTTCCTCCCCTCCCCTTTCCTTATCTTCAGACATGGAAACCCAGGCTCCTGAAACTGACAGTGGGATTAGTCCTGCAGGGGCTCTCGTCGCTCTCCATCTCCCTCTAGCACTAAGAATGGACTGATATCCATCTTCATTTTCCTTTTCTTTTTGGGGGGGAAGAATAAAGTGAATAAGTGAATGGTGGGATGCTTTTGCTGCATGTATAAAACTGTGATTTCAAATAATTAATTTTGACTACACAGAGGATGTGTGCACTTTTTAGCCTTTCTTTTTTATTTCCTAGGGATTTTTATTTTTTTTTCAGGAATCCTTAGTATTTGTCATCTTGGTAAAAAGGATTAAGATCTGTAGATACCTGACGGGCACTAACGCTTTGTGTCTTTCCTCTGTCATCCTTTTTTACACTATGTTTTGTAGCATATTATCTAGCTGGGCATGTTTGGATAGAGGTGTAAGAGAAGGTGTAATTAAGCCTGTTAGGATTTGCCTCAACACTGGATTCCAGCAACTGTATTTTTAGCACTTCTGCACTGCACATTCATTCAACATCTTACTTAAAAATACCACTAGTCGAGTACAGTGCTGCAAATTACAGGAACATGAAATAAGGATTGTGGTAGTAGTCTTTTTTCTTCCTCTTCTTCCCCCCTCCACCCCCAGCCCCTTTCTTATTAAACCAGTTGTTTCAGCAATGAAGAGGCAAGACTGGCCGTCTGTGCACAGATCTTCCCTCAACATTAGCAAATGCTTGATTCAGTGTCTATTTAAACCTGTGACAGCCCTCCTACTAATTCAGTGGTTATTTGGATTAGAGCCTATTAAGGGCTGCTGTTCAAAGGGATGATGTCAGTCACTGAATTTAATAGACTATTAAGTTAGTTTATCATCTTAGTAAAGTTATTTATTAAATATCTATTCAATATTATGTCACATTGTCTTTTGCTATGTATTCACATGATGTTTAAATATAAATTATGCTGAATGTAGCACTTAAGCTGTGTTTCTTATTTAAAATAAATAATTAATTGGCTTTTTGGTGTCTCTCACATGCAACAATTTTTGTGAGACCTAGTATATGGAAAGTAATTTTATGTATTTAAGAGAGGCAGCTATATTTTCAAGATATTTTATACCTAACATGTTTTTTATCCGTTACCTGTGTCTATGATAGATTGCTTGGAAGAAATTATACTGAGATTTAGGAATTAATTTTTTTTAGTTACTGGCCCTTGTGTTTGGAAAATAATTTTTATGTGAACTCTGTAAACTGAATATTTTTGTTTTCTTGACATACTGAATTAAGGCTTTTGCTACTTGAAACTGCTTTTATGAAAGAAGAATCTAGTTTGTTCGTGCAGATGCAGATACAAAATAACAACAGATTGAGGGACCATAAAAAATTTTTCTATCCTTTATAAGGAAATGAAAGCCCTCTCTTTGCTTCTAAGTCCTGATGCATATTTATTCCTATGAGTTGTGGTCTCTGAGGAAAAACAGTTATGATTTGTATTACGGCTTTTTATGATTTTGTTCCTTAATGATTCTACAAACATAGAAGGAACACAGGGTAGTGGAATTAAAGATGTCCTGTATATAGAATGCTGAATTAAGACCTCTCTGGCTGTTGTTCCTTTGAAGATGCAGAGAATCATAGCACAGGGATTATTCTGTCTACATAGAAAGAGGATAGTAGTTGTTGGTATGATGTCCAGTATTTGCTTCATGGATAAGAATACCACCAAAGATTAAGATCAGTGTTCTCAGGTGAAATGTTGTTGATCCTATAATGGCTGACACCTTTATTTGTATAGTCATTTGCATAAACCATGAGCAATTTTTTTATTGGAAATGCTACTGTCATGGGCACTGATTAAGAAGGTTTTTATGTACATTTTCTGTTAATCCATCAACAAAATGGTTTATAGAACCTGCATGTTCAACATCTTTGCGGTTTCCTATGGTTTGATATATTGCCTCTTATTGTTTTGGCTTGCAGGAACCAATATGGATGAAATTCATGCAAGTCTTATAGCTCTTTTATTATTTGGAAGTTTTTCCATCCTTCACTATCATCTTCTAGTCAGATCCCTTTTATGATGTAACTTCTTTGGTCTGTTTGGCAGCACACAGGGGTCATAAATCATGTATCATGAACAGTTAAGATAATATAAAACAAAATCCTGTGCATCAAGGAGTCCAAGGACAATGAAGAGAGACTTCAGGGTCCTGGGACAGCTGGTTAGGGGGTCTGGAGCACAAATAGTGTTTGCCTCCATACCTGTTGCAAGAAAGGATGAAGAGATAAACAGGAGGAGTCTGCAGATCAATGCATGGCTACACGACTGGTGCCACAGGCAGGGCTTTGGGTTTTTTGATCACAGGTACGAGATACCTGGCCTGCTGGTGGCAGGTGGGATGCACCTGTCCCAGAGGGGCAAAAGGCTTTTGGTGCAAGAATTAGCAGGGCTCATTGACAGGGCTTTAAACTAGATATGAAGGGGGAAGGGGAGATAACTGTGCCTGTTAGGGAAAAGCCCAAGAGAAACATACCAGGGCTTGAAGGATGGTGGACTAGGGAGGATTCTCACTCTGTTGTTTCACTTGAGAGAAAGGACAGATGTTTAGAAATCATGGAAGCACGAGAAGGGTCTGGTAGGAAATGGAGCCCACAGTGGAAAAAAGGTGTTGGAATCATTAGCTCATCTGAAGTACATCAATACCAATGCACGCAGTATGAGCAACAAACAGTGGGAGCTTGAAGCCATGATACAGCAGGAAAACAATGACATAGTGGCTATCACAGAAACATGGTGGAATGCATCACACAACTGGAGTGCCACAATCAATGGCTACAAGCTAGGGCACAGTGATCATGAGATGAGTTTTTGATCCTTGGAGAAACAAGGAGAGGGGTTAGTAAAACTGCCATCTTAGACTTCTGGAGGCAAAACTTTGACTTGCTCAGAAGACTGATTGACAAAGTCCCTTGAGAGATTTCCTTGAAGGATAAAGGAGTCCAGGAAGGCTGGACATACTTCAAGAAAGAAATTTTAAAGGCACAGGAGCAGGCTGTCCCCATGTGCCAAAAGACCAAAGGGACCTTTGGCTGGACCTTAGGGAAAAAAGGAGAGTCTATGACCTTTGGAAGAGGGGACAGGTCATTCATGAAGTCCATAAAGATGAAGTGAACCTATGCAGAAAGATTTTTTC